TTTTGGTTGGTGGTGTGCCTCGGGAGTTTTTCAATTAAAACAATATACCTTGGCTCAAAAAAGGTTGAAAAACACTGTTCTAGAGTATCTGGTAAAACGATTAAATAATAATTTTTAAAAAATCATAAAATGACTTATTTCCCTGTTAATATGACTTTCTTTATTAATATGACTAAATCATGATCCAACCTGACAGTCAATAGAGGCCACTAAAGTGCGGTGCATTTCAGTAACTCTTGTAGAGAATGGACATTTTAACACTAACTGAGCAGCCTTAATCTGGACTACCTGCAGCCTTGACTAACCTTGCTGGCAGCAGACCACATAACTGGGCCTGGTCTACATAAAACATGTCAAACATGGTTGATTTGAGCGTTGGAACTATTCCTGGTGGTTGGGCTGATAAATACATGTTCAGCAGCTAGCCAATGAACTTTGATCCTCACCTGCAAGTTCCGTAAGCTTCTCAGCCCTTTTGTTTTTGGTGGTGATAATACCAACCTGGAATTAAACACAACCCATTTAATTAGCTTAGCTACATAATCAGAGGAGTTTTAGAACCACCCCATTTACCTGAAACAATGGCTATCCTCCTGCGTACATTCACTTAAACATTTACTACTCACATCACAACTATTGAAACTGAGTGTAATAAAAAGAATTAGACAATCAACTGTAAATTTATACTGCTTAATCCTTCATATTCTACCAATGTTAACACTGGGCAGTTTTAGAATCAGAGCAATTGCAGAGTGCAAACATTTACCTCTGACATCACAACATAACTGAGTCAAGAGATCAACATGTCATTTACAGGTATGCATGTGGATCTGATCCACAGTTCAGAGGACAGCAATAATGTTCTGAAGACAAGAGAGACGTCAAACAACACAGTTACATCAGCAACAACCACCAGAGGGCAGCAGCGATGGTATTATCAGCCAAACTCTCTGGAAGATCCTTCATCATGCAGAAAACAACACAAAATACACTGCCAAAAAATATGAGAATACATGGGGTGCAAGCGGTGGACACTGTTGGACGGGTAAAGTGTTTCTCCAAAAGCCCTAAAAAGTAGCTAAATATCAGTAGCGAAATATTATTCACTCTAATCTTTACAATCAATCAATCTGCTCAGGTGCTAAAAGTGTTAGTTGAAACACTTTGATGTTCTGTTCCAGATAATTTTTCTCCCATCTTCTGAGTGTAGGTGGGAGACAAAAACTAATGTTTACTTCAGAAAATTCCAGATGCCCTACAACCACCAACACTGAGCATGTTGTCCATTTCCTCTGTTCTTTAAGCGTAAACCTAACGGTATCATACCTGGCTGATGGGATTCTGGTCAAAGTATTCATCGATGAATCCCTCCATCAGCTGAAGATGAAGAAAGGGAATATGGCTTAGAGACAATCACCATGTGCAGTAACTGGTGCCATATGTGTTCTGTCTCACCTTCAGAGTAGAGGTGAGACGGTTGGGTTTTAAGTCCTGGTCCTCCATACTGCGTGAACAGTCAATAACAACATATAGGTGGCGCATCTAGAGCACAAACAATGATAATCTCCTCTGGGTTTCAAAATGATTTTTATACTAACACAACATGGGTGTGAGGCTGTTTCTGATAATCCCATCAGACACTGGTCTCACTCAGGGCAATGCTGGAGCCTGGTTGCTGACTTCATTCAAAAAGAGAGGTGCACAATATATTAGCACTAACATGGGTGTCGGCAGCTATTTTTATAATAACTAGACTGATGTTAACAAGTGAGATTTGTTTTTATCTCGTTACCATTTGATAGTTGGAAGAGGAAGGGAGGAGACTGGTCATGTGGTATTTGTTTGGTCCTGTGACTGTGATAGTGATGCAAAACAGGATTGTGGGGGATTTAACTGAAACAGAAGCTGTTGCGTAGTCAACGGTGTGGCCATTTTTTTTGGTGAGGTGTCGAAAGGGTAGGGAAATATATATAATCAGTAAAAATCAATTATCGGCCATGACAGCAATATTAATATTGCATGTCAATATCAGCCCAAATGTATATATATGTGTATCCCTAATTAAAAAAAATATTAGCTGACAATAACTTTGGCCAGTTTGCTTTGGTTCTTTTCATTAACAGTAATTCCATTGGCTGAACTTATAGAATATCCAAAGATGGTTGTCACTGTACAACACTTTAATTCTAAAATTCTAATTCTAGCTTTAGCCCTGATGGCGGCGCGTGTAGACGCTGCGGCTCGGAGCTCCCGTGTTTTCGTTTTTTTTTAGCCTGTTTTTATTGATGTTTTCGCTCAACACACTACTGGA